TTTGGTTGTTTTTCAAAGAATTGTCCACTTCATCTATCTTGTCAATGTTATAGGCACAAGGTATTCATAATACTCAGTTGTTATCCTTTTATTGTCTATAGAATTTCTAGTGATGTACATTTTCTCATTCCTGATATTAGTAATTTGGTTTTTCCCTTTTTTATTTAACCAGTCTGGCTAAAGGTTAATGATTTGTTTTCTCAAGGAATCAGTTTTTTGGTTTTATTGATTTTCTGTAATGATTTTCTGTTTTCTATTTCATTGATCATCATTATTTCCTTCTTTCATTTACTTTGGGTTAAATTAGTTTTTATGTTTACAGTTTCTTAATGTGGAAGCTTAGATCATTCATTTGAGGCCTTTACTTTTTTCTAATATGACTTTAATGCTATAACTTTTCCTCTTAGCTGTATGCCACAAATTTTGATATTTTGTGTTTTCATTTTTTCAGTTCAACATACTTCCTCATTTTCTTTGTGATTTTTTCTTTATTATGGGTTATTTGGAAGGACAATATTTAATTTCTGAGTATTTAATTATTCTCCAGATAGCTCTCTGTTACTGATTTCTAATTAAGTTCCATTATATTAAGAAAAGATATTTTTAATTTGAATTCCTTTAGATTTATAGAGAATTGTTTTGTAGTTCTGAATATTGTCTATTTAGTAAATGTTTCTTGTGTACTTGAAAACATTATGCATTCTCTGTTGTTAGCTGAAGTGTTTTATAAATGTCAATTAGGTTTATGGTTAAAGTCTTCTATATGCTTACTGATTATCTGTTAACTTATTCTATTGATTGCTGAGAAATGGGTATTAAAATCTCCAGCTATAATTGTAGATTTATGTCTTTATACCTTCAATTCTATATGTTTTTGCTTTGTGTATCTTGAAGTTCTGTTATTAGGTATACAAATTAATTACAGATGTTATATCCTTCTGATGAACCAATTCCTTCATCACTATGAAATGACCCTTTTTACTCTAATGGTCATTTTTGCTCCGAAATTCACTTTGTATATTAACATAGCCGCTCCAACCTTCTTTTGATTAATGTTAGCACAACATATCTTTTTTCCATTCTTTTAATATAACCACTTGTGTCCTTAAAGTTTTTTTTTAAGTTGGATCTTACATGTTTACCCAATCTGAACATTTTTGCTTTCTTATTGGGGTTCACTTAATGTGATTTTTTTTGTAATTATTGGATTTAAATCTACCATTTGACTATTTGTCCCTTCTGGGTTTTTTTCTTTTCTTTTCCACTTTTCTGCCTTCTTTTTGATTGAGTATTTTATATAATTCCAGTATATCTTCCTTATTGGCTTTTTTAGCTATTTATGTTTGTTTTGGTTTTTAACTGGCTGCTTTAGAGTTTGTGGTACATATCTTTAACTTATCTTATTCATTCTTCAAATTATATCACTTAATGTATATGGTATATTTCCATTTTCTCTCTCACAGCCTTTATATTCTTGTTGTCAAACATTTTACTTCTACATATTTTACTTCTACATTGCTAACATTCTTGCTTTATAGACAGTTATCTTTTTAAAGAGACTCAAATAAGAAAAAAGCATGTTATATTTATACACATATTTATCATTTCCAGTGTTCTTCATTCTTTTGTATAGATCCAGATTTTCATCTAGTAACATTTTCCTTCTCATTGTCAATTTTTACTTTATATATTTGAAAATATGTTATTAGATGCATTCAGATTTTAAACTCTCCCCCTGGTGAGTTGAAATGTTAAACATTGTGAAATGACCATCTTTCTCTTTAGTACATTTTTTGCCTCAAGTCTATTTTGTTTTATATTTAATATAGCTATATCAACTATCAACTTTCCTTTACTCAGTATTTCCATATTATTTCTTCCTTTTAATTGTCAACTTTTCTATTGCCTTATACGTTAACTATATTTCAATACACCAAATATTTGCATATAAAAACTTTATTATTGTCCATTCTGAAAATCTTTGTCTTTTAATTAGAGCATTAATCTACTTACATTTATTGCAATTAAAGATATATTTGGGGTTTTAACTTCCATGTTATTTTGTGCTTTAATTTTCCCATATTCTCTCTCTACCCACCCCAAGCTTCTTGTCATTTTAGGTTTAATTACATTTTTTTGTCATTCCATTTCCCCCTTCTACTGGTTTATAGTTACACAGTTAGTCCCCACCTTATCCATGGGGGGATATGTTTCAAGATACCCAGTGTATGTCTGAAGCCACAGATGGTACCAAACCCCACATATACTGTTTTTTCCTATACATACATACCTATGATAAAGTTTAACTTATAAATTAGGCACAGTAAGAGATTAACCATAACTAAAAATAAAATAGAACAATTATAACAATATGCTGCAAGAAAAGTTACATGAATGTGGTTGCTTTCTTAAAATGTCTTATCATACTGTACTCATCCTTCTTGTGATGATGTGAGATAAATTCCTGTGTGATAAGATGACATGAGGTGAATGACATGGGCATTGTGGTGGAGCATTATGCCGCCATTGCTCTTCTGAAGCTATGTCTGAAGAAGGATCATCTGCTTCTGGAGTGTGGCTGAATGAGGGTGACTGAAACTACAGAAAGTGAAGGCACAGATAAGGAGAACTACTGTATATTCTGCCTGTATTTCTAGTCAGTTTTCCTTAGAAAATATTATATGAATATTTAATTTATGCAAAACTAAATTTAATTAAACATATAACTCTTTCCCTAACTCATATAGTGTTGAATTCATGGATTTTTAATTCCATCTTGTTTTTACACTATTAGAGTTATTACTATTTTATACAGCAATGTGTATTTACCCTGTCTTTATCTTTTTTCTTTTTTATCTTGAGTACTCCCATCTTGTATTTCTTCCCTTCTGATCTTGGTATATCTTTAATATTTTAGTGAGAGGCTACTGGTTATTACATAACACAGTTTTTTTGTTTGTCTGAAAATATCTTTGATTCATTTTCAGTTTTGAAAACTATTTTCTCCAGATATAGAACTCTAGTTCAGTTATTATTTTCCGAAAGCACATTAAAAATATTATTCCATCGTTTTTGATGTCCAGTATTTCTGTTGAGAAGTCTCTTACAATTTTAATTCCTATTCCTCTGATTGCTTTTAAGATTCTATTCTTTGCTTTCTGGATTTTTACTATGATATGTCTAGATGTGGGTTTCTTTCATCCTGCTTAGGATTTCTTGAGCCTCTTAAATCTGTGGTTCCTCATCGTCTTCAAGTATCTTGTCAAATACTGGCTATGACTCTATCCTTTCTTCTGTAACACTGATTAAATGTATGTTAAGCCTGCTGAATCTATGTCCCAGGGGTCTTTAATTTAATATTTTTATTTAATATTTTTATCTCTCTAGGACACATTCTTATAATTTATTCTGATCAGTCTTCCACTTGACTACTTTTTTGTCATGACTATTCTGATGTCTAAATTACATACTGTGTTTTTAATTTGATTGTTTTGTTCTTAATTTCTTGAATTTGATTTAATTTGATTGATTTTTAATTTATTTTTCCTTTTAAAAATACACTGACACATTTTATAGTTTCTTTCTACAGATATTTTCAAGCTTGTCATTTATCCTACATAACTAGTCAACATATCTGTTTGATAAGCTGCATCTATTAGTTCCATATCTGAAGTCTGAGTGTGTGTATTTCATCTATTTCTTCTCCCCTTTCATTGTTTTTTATGGTTATTACTCATACATAACCTTATTTCCTGTGCTTGCAGAATATGCTTACATTTCACAAAAGATAATATTAAACTTTTCAAGTCTAATTACGTGCAAGAACATTCCAATAGAATTATTTTTATCACTACATATGAAGAATAGTATGGCATACAGCAGAATACAGGTGTAAATTTTATAATTAGTTCCTTTCCTTAACATAGAACTAAATTTATTTTTAATGTAACAATCTTCACAGTCTTCAACTTTATCACAAAAGATTATATATTTTTGTGTTATACCGCTTAGCAACCAGCATTGGTAAATAAACCTTGTCTCAGAAATAAAATGTTTCAACAAGATTTTTTAGAGGCATAAAGTTTCTGTTCTCATCACAACAGATTAGCCAGAACCAAATTGATCTCCCTCTGAAGAAATATATATATATATTTTACAGATCTCAAGATAGCTATAAATAATTTGTATTTGTATATATTTGTTTATATATTTATATGGTGTTAAAATACTTATATATTTATAATTCATATATAAATTTATACATATACATAATTCATATATATGTATGTGTGTGTGTGTATATATATATATATATGTGTATACATATATATATATAAAACAAAGAACTACCAAAAAGTAATTTAGGAATATAAGAATTGCAATTACCATACTTTAAAAATGTGAGAGCTGGAATTTTCTGCCTCTAATATCATATATGTTCTGTAAATAGCTTCACCTGAGAAGAATGCAACCTTATGGAATGCTGAAAATTGTAATTAAACATGTCCCAGAGGGAAGAAGATAACAAAAACATATGCAAAAGACAAATGGACATTTTTTTAATTGCTCAAAAACAACAAAGATGTTCAGGCAAATAATTCCTAATAGTCTCAAAAATTACAGACAATATATCCATAATCATTTTAAAACTTCAAAGAAGAAATGAAAAGGTCACTGACAAGGTTATTAGGAAACAGAAGAAAGTAAAAAATTTTCTATGCTTAGGATATACATGAAAAATGATATTGCAATGACAAAAGTCAAAAGACAGGGAAACAATATAAATAAAAGGACTATGGTAATATAAAATTAAAAGGAAAATGTGACAAAATCTAATATATATTCTAGAAAAATAGTTTTTGAGATAGACAAATTAGAAAAAAATGGGAAATATATTTTTTGTCTTACCTAAAAAAAAGATTTACATATGCTTAAAAGTATCCATTGTTGCCATTCCCAATTTTCCTGCTTTACATAAACTTTTTCGCTTTCTTTTTCAGACAGTAACATTTTCTCAGAATACAAATTATGAGTCAGTGGATGATTACTTTCAGTTGCAGTAAGTATGACTTACAAGAACCTACTCATATTAAATATACTATTCAGGTTATTGATTTGTAGGTACTCTTTCATTTAAATGGCCTCATATCCTTTTAAATACCCAGATTTCAAATTCCTTTAAATGTTTGGATAGCTATAAAGTTAGTATTCAGTACAAAATACAGAATATGCCTTGCAATTAAATGGAAACATGACCTATCTGAAGGTTCTCATTTATCCAATAGCAGATGCAAAAAAAAATGGGCTAGTTCTTAGTTCAGTAATTTTTTCAAATGTTCTATCATTCAGTCCCATCCCAAAGTCTTCACATACTATCCTTAAGCAGAAAACAGAACTCTAATAACCCAGGAAGTTTTAACTGAGTAGAATCGGATAAAACACCATCTTTGGCTCCTGGAATGAGGTAGCACCTAAACAATTTCCAGAAGAAGGAACCAACCTGGAATTATGTCATCAGGCATTTACACAGTTATCATTATGTCCTGACCCAGTGTATTTTCTGGAAAAATAGCATTGCATTGCTGCCCTAGGAAAAAGTCCATTTCTCTCCAGTGTGCTGTAACTCTGAGTGCCTACCCACCTCCATGCACATCACCTCCCAGATGTTCAAGCTACACAAGCACACAAGAAAGATGAAGTACTGCTGCCATGCAACACATCTCTAGTGGGAGAAGATGAACAGCCAGTAATAAGATAAACAAACAGGGTCATTCCAAATACTTGTAAGTGCTGTTAAGAGAGAATAAAGTGATGGAGAGTGGCCAGGAGCAGGGGCAAATGCTCCTTCATGAGCAGTAGTCAAGAGACGAGCAATTCCTCCCTTTCTCCCTCACCCACCGATCTATTCTTCTAATGTTGTGGGTTCCTTTGGGTATTTTAGTTTTTGTGGAGATTGACTGAGAATTCTGTTGCTGTGGACTATGCATCAAATTGTCCAGGATACTTTAGGTCAGTCTGAAACTTGAGAAAAAAATACTAAAAGATTTTAAATCAGCCATGGTAGGAAAAAAAGATCTACCTTTAAGAAAAACTGTGTAGAAAATTGAAGATACAATATTTACTGTAGTGTCCTTTACAGATCTATGCTATATTCCTGAATTTATCAAAGATTCAATCAGATTTTTTTAAAGCCATAACTGGCATAATTACAAGGTACTTCTGATTTTAGAGGTGTTAAATGAGGGGAAAAGAATGTACCTTAGAATTGAGGAAATATGGTACAGTGATTTAAAAATATAAAAACATGCTGTTTGTATCTTCACTTATTACCTTTTATATCTAATGTACCACAAATAAATATCAAAATGTAATGAATATTGGAAGGAAAAAGACATTTGTGTTTGTTTTTCCAAACCATAAAAATCTTAGCAGGGTTGGGTGTGAATAAAGCTTCCAAAATTTCTATGACTTTTGAGCCCTCCCAACCTGCCTGACCATGGAATGATTTATGCGCACTTTAAAATCTAGAAATGCATTACTTTTATCTGCCTTTTATTTCCAGGCAGATCACAGTAGGCAGCAAAATGCAGTTCCAAAAGCTAATTTTCTAACTTAACTCTTTATCGTTCCAAAGGTGTTATCAGTGGGAGGGGAAAGTCTGTAGAGGCTAGAGAAGGAACCAGTGGCTATGGCCTTGCAATACCATCAAGAAGCTGGGCAATTTGTCAGTGGCAGAGCCCATCCTTCAGAGACCAAGAGGGTGTTAATGAAATGGAGCTGAAATGTTGATAGATGCTCATTTCTGTTTCCCATTATGCCCATTCTGTGGGCCAAAATATGGAATACCATGATGTGGAAGTGACTAAGGAATGGCCACAAACCACCTTCCAGGCCTCTAGAATTCCCCTGGCGGGTGGAGGTCAGTCTCATTGTGTGCATGGGACTTTTCATCTGCTTACAGAAAAGAAGTCATGCCTACCTCCCTTGTGAGTCTATAATCGCCTCTGTGTGTTGTTTCCCCTAGACACCAGAACATGGGTCTCCTGCTTGTTCAGGTTAGGCCTAGTGGATATTCAAAAACATGTCAAATAAGCCAAAAGGTAAGTGACAAGGTCATTTCTTCCATATAATATAATACCACTCCCCTAATAAGTGGCCACACTTTGTAATGTTCCACAGTAGAGATAACATTATTTGGTATGGAAACAGAAGATCAGATTTCTGCCATCCATGAGTTTACCATTGAAAGTGAGTTATATAAACACATTAAAAAAATGTAACATTACTAGTTTTCAAAGATAAAACCGTGTAAAGGAAAACTGAAGCTAATGGGAATAACTAAAATTGGACAGGGTTTGCCAAAAAAGACAGCCAGTCATGTCTATATTTATTCTGTATTTATTGAGTCAAAGAATTGAATCTTTTTTTTCATTCAAAAAGTTTTATTGTATGCCTACTATGTTCCTATGCTTCAGTCTGTGAAAGGGAATGAAAAGTTACAAAGATGAAAAGACAGAGTCCCTCCTCTAGGTGTAAGAGAAGGTGAGAAACGCAGACATCAGATAGCCCAGAGGAAGGAGTGAGAGATTTTTATTGGGAGCAGATGGCCATGCACGACGTGGTTGTCAAAGAGTAGAGCAGCAGGTGCAAAGAGAACCCCAGGAAGAGCCATACACAGCAGCACAGGGTGTGCCCGTAGCCACAGGTGTAGTGTATTAAACACAGATCCTTAACTGCCACCCCCTCCTTTGAGTCTGTTCCATGCTGAGAGATGCTTCCTCTCTTTTCCTTCTCAGGAAGAGCCCAGCACTGAGGCCAACATAATCCCCTGTCTCTGCAGTTAAGAGAATAATACTAAGAAAGCTAATGTAGTCATAGTTTTCATTGGGCTGTATGTCAGAATTTCTCTAATTAGGTGTCTGGTCCTAGGGGATCATGTGCCAGCTCTACATTAGTTGGTACCCTAAAAAACAGGCTTATTCATGCTTCCCACACTCTTATACCCATACCTTCATTCAAGATCCACCTGCCAGTCAACTCATATTTTTAATCCTAGTCATGGTTGTTGATTCTGAAGCTCAGGGAAATTTTTGTCAACTAGGACCCGGAAGAGATGGGATGATATGAGTAAGGTCATCAAGTGATGGTGGGCCCTTACTATGAAAGATTTGAGGACTCAATCAGCCATGTATGTTATATGGGTAATTTAGTAAAGATAAAGGGAAGGCCCATGTTTATGAACACATTTAATGGGAAAACAAAGATGTGAAGATAATGGACCACAAAAACTGTGGGTAGAGTTGTTGAAGAACAAATCAGGTCCTGTAAGTAATATCATCTGATTCAGGAAACAAAATCCATGAACTCCTGCTGTGGAGCATGCCTTTCAAATGAAGCCTAAAAGACCTTGGTTCAGCAGGTCCAACCCTTTAAATCCATCAAGTTTGGCTGGACATCATTCTCTATCTGCACTCTCCCAATCCCTGAATCCTCCTGTAGGATAGGAGGACTAAGGTTTTTCTCAGATTTGCCTTGTGGAAACATGCAACATGTATAAGACAGAAGGCAAGTGTCTAGACTCCACTTAGAAAGCCTGGGGCCTGGAGCAAGACAAGGTAGACAGCCGTAAGGTGGAAACAGAAGTAGGCTTTGCAGTTGAGGAAGAACTAAGACTCTGGGTTAAAAAGAAGTCAAATTAATGGGCAACTGTTCTATAGAAACCTGCCAGCTAAGTCAGGTGCAAGCTGGAAGTGCAGAGCTGATAGTCATGCTTGCAGAGGTATTGGTGAAACATAAGACTGGCTCAGTTCCCTGACATACTGATGTAAGAAAGCATATAACTAACCTCTGGGTCTTCTGAGCAATAAGGGTGGAAAGCAAAGAAAAAGAGAAAAGTGACCAAAGAAGAAGAACACAGCACACGGCAGCAAAACAAAACCCTCCATTTAAAAGGCTACTATTTCAAACATAAAATGTATGTGCTCTTAGCTGCAGTAATACTTTAGATCATGTGAATCAGAACCACTGAACTCACCACCTAAATCACTTCATTCTAGGTGTTCCAGATAGCTGTTGGCTGTGATGCTAGCAAATTCATTGTTGTTAAAGGGCAAGTATATTTGCATTTGACCTGTCTCATTCTTTTCATTTTAAAACAAATGGTGAACTAACTGGTAATTACTAGTGATAATATTAGCCTGATGACATGTTCATAATAAAATCCAAACTGAATTGGCCTTGGTGTCCAAAACTGAGACAACAATTTGTCCAAACCAAACTTGGAACTTTTTGCCATGTCAAATGTTACAGTTGAATCATATGAAAAGGGAAAAAGAGTTAACGTCTTTCTCTATCACCAGCATTTTTCTCCACCTTCCCTTTTAACAAACCCATGTCCATCTCCCACTGATACCTCTCTCAGCAATTCTGGCTACAACTAACTCATCCCCAGTGAAATGAGAGGGAGTAACTCTTCCCTGTGCTTCCATCCTAATCAACCAGTTATAATTTCATTTCTGTCAGAACTGCTTACATTCACTTCAGAGAAGCCTGCTTTCTGCACCATATTCAATGGGAACTCTCTTAGAGCAAACCAACAGAAGCACCAGTGTTTCCCCCAGAGAACTCCAAAGTGTGCCTTTTATTAATCTTACTGTGGTTTACAACAAAGCACCTGGATTTTGTGTCATCCACTTGCCACAGCTCTCTTTCTTCTGCATGGAAGAGTATCAAAGTCAGCACACACAACCTATTTAACTGATGTGAAACGTACAATGCAGACAGCAAGGTACCATGATTCCTTTCCCGTGGTTAGAACTGAGGGTGAGTTGGGGAACCACTCACATAGACTCTTATGTGAATCTGTTTATGAAATGACTTGCTCTCATCCAAAACAAATGACCACTCATCTGTCATTCTAATAATCATTTAAATACTGAATTGTAATAATCTGTTGCTGGATTGATAGTTAAGAATTCCCATCTCACTCAGCAAGGAATTTGCATTTCCTATAATTCCTTTTTCAGGAAATGCAAAGACTAACTGACCTATACAGCCCATAGCATTGCTCCTTAGAAAATGTTCTATGGATAAACACTGGCATCACCTGGAACTTGGTAGGAATGTAGAATATCCACACCTGCTGAGTCAGAACCTCTATTTTAACAAGATTTCCAGATCTGTAGGGGCATTAAAATTTGAGAATAACTGCTCTAAGCAACATGTTATGAAAATCAATTCTCAATACCACTACATACAGATTTCCTTCTTCAGTGAAATGCAAAGCAGTTTGAATCAGTCTAATTCTAGGGCCTAGATAGCAATTGTTAAGCTTGATTGTTTATCAGAATGGCCTGCAGAGCATGTTTTAAAGGACCTTACTCCAGGCCTCTTAGTCACTGCACCACTATTCTAGTACCCTCATATCTTGGATTCAGGCTGTGGTGGGCCTAAGGTTTCACAGTCACAAAGGAGACCTATGGAGTTCAAGGTACTTCAGACCATAGCACAATCAATGAAGGAGAGCATCTCTTGGGGTCTACTTTGGGATCAGGGTAGGAGATGGTCTGGACTTCCAATATCTATCTAAACACAATGGTGACTAGGGTTCCTTCTAAGCTGTACTGGGAGCAGCCAAAAACAGTCGAATGAATAATTCAACTTACTAAAAGCTCCACCATTTCATAGACCATAATAACCTTATGTAGGCATGAACCCTAGTTAGAAATTATGTGAATCCTTAAAATAGCTTCTTACCTGCACTGCTAAGACTCTAGTAGCAATTAGAAATCTTTGTTTTAAAAAATATATATGAGGGATAAAACAGTCCAAAGAAATTTGTCTTCATTTTGATAGATTCTCTATCATTTTTCATATGTATCAAATATAAAGGGTAAACCAGTGTATTTCAAGTTCTGGTGTCTTCAGAAATATTTATAATGTTTTAAAATATCTGACGTTTTAAAAATAGAAATGCTAGAGCCACACACCAACTCCAAAGATTCTAATTCAGTAAATGGTGATTCTGTGACACTCTCATGTTTGAGAATCAGAGTCAAGTGATTAAATGTTTGTGCAAGTATATAAGGAATGATGATATTAAATCTTCACTATTGTTTTATTTTCTTTTAGATTTAATACAAAAGAATGTCTTCGGCATGATTTTTTTTACATTATTGAAAAGTAAGAAATATTTTTTAATATTATAAGCATTGAGTTTTATATTAATGTAGTAGTTTTATATTGTAGTAATTTAGAATCTGCTAATATTTATTCCTATTAGCATCAGTCTTTACTATTATATGCATTCATTGCTTTGAATTTACCTCTAGGCACTGTTTTCACTGCATCTCAGAAATTTTGATAAGTTGTGTTTTCATTTTCATTTAGTTCAAAATTCTTTTTAATCTCTCTTCAGATGTCTTCTTTGACCCATGTGTTATTTAGAAGTAAAATGTTTAATCTCCACATATTTGGGGAGTATTTTTAATTATATTATCTATTTGACTTTTGACATACCTCCTTACCAAAACAAAGTAATGATTTTAGTTTTAAAGTTTGAGAAGAGGAAAGATATGTAATGAAAGATCTCTTTTTTATAGGTCATATCTGAGGGATCAACCATCAAAAAACTTGGTAAGAAAACCATAACTTTGTCAACTAGCCAGTTATGGAAAATAACTAAAACATTTTTTTCCTTTTCTAGAGAGTACACTATAATTGGAAAAAATATGGCTGCCCATTGAGACTTGATTTCAGAGAAAAGTTTCACCCTTTGGTTCAATTGTAAGTATATTCTCCTTAAAATTTTTTACTTAATTTGAAAGTTTTAAAATAAAAGTATGAAAGCAAGGCTACTTAGTCTTGCATTTAATAATAAATATTTTTAACCACGCAATATATGCAACACTAGGTTTTCAGTACTAGTTATACAAAGTTAGACAATCCATGGTCCCTGCCTGTTGGGAGAGATACAGTTGAGTAGCTGAGGCTGTTCCCAGGGGAGAAGCAGTCTCTTAAGCTTGCTTTATCATCTCTAAACCTCTCCCCAAGCTCCTACCAGCACCCTTGCCTGTTTGATAGGAACCACCTTCTCCAGGTCACATAAGACTTTTTTTTCCATGGGCCCATAATGACTGAAAGCTTGAAAGAAAAGAAACTAGATTACTGATAATGGGCAGTACATTGGGGAGACTTCAAAAATAGTATCTCTAACTTAATTCTTTTGAACAATATTTCATAATAAAAATATGAATAAAATGCTGTAAGAAAGACTTTCCCAAGTAACTTTGTATCAGTTTGCTTGCTTCTCTGACTTTATTCTTCATTTATGATTATAAAAGTTACACAGCTTGTTAAAAATTTTTAAATATTGAAAATATGAGATAAATGGACCATATTTCTGACTTTTTTGCTACTATAAAAAAATTGCGGTGAGTAACCATTTATGTACATGTTTGGAAACTAGTCTGGATACACCATTAGGATAAATTACTATAAGTGAAATTCCTATGTGTAGAACATCAAAATTGTAGTCAAGGCTTTCAGCTTTTGGGAACCTCTTAGGCTGGAGACAACTTCTGAGCTCTCTCAGGGTGGGTCAGTATGGAGTAACTCCGGTTTAGTTTTGCTATCGGAGCTTTCCCTTCTGGTATCCAGAAGGCCTCTGCCAGCACGTTCTGCCCACCACTCCTGGCCCACGGCAGTTCCAAGCTCTGCACTGGGCCCATGTCTCTTACATCCCTCTCCTGCTCTCCCTCTGCTGTGGGTTCTGCAAGCTGTCAGGCTGACCTGCTGTCTTCTCTGGCTTTGGTCTTCTTCACCTAATCATGCCCCTGCTTTTCCTGGACACCCCGGTCACTCCCCAACTGAGGCCTAGTTTTTTGTTCTTCTTTTTGCTTTTGTTTTGTGCAGTGCCTAATCCCCCACAGGTAAAACAAACAAACAAGCAAACAAAACATAACTTAATGTTCTTTCCCAGAGAAGGGCTCTCTTCAGTTCAATTCATTACCAAACACCTACTTTGCACCAATTATTGTGCTAGGCACTGGGAGTTCAAAGATAAATGAGACAGGAATTCTGCTCTCAAGGGCTCAGGAGTCTGATGGATTGGATAAGCACATGTGAATGATAGAAAAGGGATGTCATGGTAATTGGTATTGAAACTCAAATGAAAAGACTTCAGCCCAACTATGGAAGGGAGAGGGGCTCTCGGATATTCCCAGAAAACTTGGATTTGAGCTGAGTCACTGAGTCTTAAAGGATAATGGATATTTAGCTGAAGGCAGGGAGGAAAGGAGGCTCTCGGATATTCCCAGAAAACTTGGATTTGAGCTGAGTCACTGAGTCTTAAAGGATAATGGATATTTAGCTGAAGGCAGGGAGGAAAGGAGGAGATGAGTGGGGAAGGTAATAGTGAATTCCAGTGGGTAAACCTTCCAAGTGAAAGTGGTAGTTTGGGGAAGTTTATATTTCAAATAGTAAAATGTCGTTGCAGCATAAAGTGAGGCATGACATGTCAGAAGAGGCAGGGACACTAGCTGGAGTCCAGATTATGGAAGCCTTTTTATCCATTCTTACAGTAGAATGGCATGATCAGGTATTTGCTTCAGGTAGTTCTCTCTAGGAAAAGTGTAGAGAACAAATTGCAGAGAAACAAGTCTAAGTTGGGAGACCAGATAGTAAACTGTATTGGTAGTCCAGGGAGGGAAAAACAAAAAGATGACTGAAATATCAGCAAGGACAAAGATAAATTCTTTATGAGAAAAATTAGCAGTCGTAACAGGCAAAACTTAATAATTGATAGGCGTGAGTGGTGAGAGAGAGAATGAGGAAGATGAATGACTCAGAGGTGACATCAGTTAGAGGTCTCCCACAAACTTCCCCCACCATATCTATCCATCTTCAAGTGTCTGTACCCACGAACATTGTCTTTCTATCAACATAGATGAACTAAATGTGTGTTTAAGGTCTGTCTCCATTTGTGAACTAGAGCTCTATCCCCTTTCCTAATTAAGAAATTGCTCCTGAATTTCTCCTGCATCACCAACTTTCCCTTATCTACTGGATCATCAAAGAAATACGTACTTCTTTCCCACAACAAAAACAAAGACGCCACTACTCCTTTAGCTACTATACTCATCATCACCAACTCTCCCCCTATTGTCTCCCATCAGGCTTTGCCCCCGCACTCCCAAGGGCCCTGCCAGCCAGTGTGACCATGGCCTCCAGACTGCTGATCCTTGTGGTCACTTCTCAGGTGCACCTTAGTTGATCTCATTAACAAGAACTGACACAGTTGGTCATTCCCTCCTACTTGAAATACTGTCTTCATTTAGCTTCCAGGATATCACATACCTCTTTGATATCTCCTCCACGATCTCCTACTTCCTCCTTTTTTCCATGACCTGTTAATGTTGGAATGCCCCAAACTTCAGGGATTTCTTTTCTCTTCTCCACCTCAACAGGCTGTCTTACTGATATCATCCAGTCTCATGAACCTGAATGTCTCAATATATAACTCCTGTATCTCTAGTATGTATCTCTACTCAGAATATCTCCCTTTGTATCAGTCAAATAGGACTAGGCTGTGTAGGAGTAACAAATAAGCCCCAATATCTCATCTTAACTCTTTTCATATCATAGTCTGACATACAGCATAGTTACCTCATGGACTCCTAGGTGATCACTGTGAAAAAAAGATTGGGAGGTTGCATGGGATGCTTAAAGGATCAGGCCTAGAAGTGGTTCTGACTTCCAGCCACATCCTGTTATCTGGAACCTAATGCCATGGCCCCCAATCTAACCCCAAGGTGGACTAGAAAATGTCCATATGCTCAAGAATATTTGATGAGCACTAACAGTGTCTGCAAAACTCCTAAGCTCCAGTCTCATAAATCCACTTAGATTATCTTGGTGAATAAATGTATGACATTTCCACTTAGATACTGAATAGGTAGAGCAAACTTAACCTGTCCAAAACTGAACTCCTGATCCTTCCCTCAAAACCTGCTCCATTAATAGACTTCCCCATTTTAACTGACAGCAACCCCATCCTTCTGATGGTTGGGTAAAAACTTTGGGCTCACTCCTGACTTCTCTTTCTCTTACATTCTTCATACAATTCATCAGTAAATCCTACTGGCTCCACTTTCAAAATACATAGAGAATCTGAAAATTCATCACCACTTACACTGCCCCCACCCTGCATTCACCTCACCTGGATTATTGCAACAGCCTTTGTGTTGGTCTAGAGTACATCAGGAGTGATTCATTTAAAACAAAGAGCACCTCATTCCGAAGCTCAAAATCCATATCCCTGAGCAAAGGCCAGGTGCTCACACTGACTTAAGAGGCTCTGTGTGAACTCCTGTTTCTCCAGCTGAGCTCCACCACACTCCCCAGGTGCCCTTCCCAGGCCTCCTTAGGCTCCTAAGGGAACAGAGCACACTCGCCCTCAGGGCCCTGCACGTGCTCTTGCCTAAGTCTGTGGTGCCCTTTCCCAAGGTGGTCACTTAGCTGGTTCCCTCTCCACCTTCCCGTCTTTGTTCAGACATCACTTTTTCAATGAGGCCCAAGCTGACAGTCGGGTTTCAAAGTACAAACTGCCTCTGCACCAGCTTCACATCTCACCTGTCTTTTTTGGTTCATAGTATTTATCACCATCTAACAAATTACATTTTACTTATTTTGCCTGTTTGTTGTCTTTTCTTTGCTACTATAATGTAAGCTCTGTAACAAAGAGCCTTTTGTCTCTTTTGATCACTGCTCTCAGCACCTAGAGCACTGCCAACAAATATGTAACTTGTCATAGTTAGTAATTAATTGTAAATAAGTAAGCAACAATAAATATTTGCTGCATGAACTCATGAACTTATGTTTGTGGCTTCCCCAACCTAGACAAATAGTAATACCACCAATTGTAATATAAAATAGGGAAGAAAAGGTAGGCTTAAGGGGGAAGATGAGTGGTTGGGTTTTAGACATCTTCAATTTGAGGAGTCTGTGAGACAACCAGAAGGAAGCTGCAATAAAACTAAACTGAAGCATCTGAAGTGCATGTAAACTATCTGAGCTGGAGATATAGATATTTGGAAGTCAAGGGCAATTTTGTGATATTAAGAATAGTTGTGGGTGATCAAAATAGTTGTTGGGGTACCTAGAGGTCAAATTACACCACTCGTCCCTGGCCAAATCTTGAATGAATTGGGTAATAGGACAAAGGAGTCAGAAGATAACAATTATTACTTATTACTTGTTACTGACAAAAAAAAATGTATTGGCAGACGTAGCTTACATTTGCAAAAGTGAGCTTCCTGATACTATACAACAAATACTATACCTAACAGAGTTAGAAAGAAGTAAAAATGAATGTAGACAGTGACTGGTTTGGAAATAGGAACGTAGGCGTTGAGAAAGGTCATTCTGACAACCTTGATTTACTTACATGAATAGTCAGGAGGGCCATCTGTAAACTGAGAGAAGGAAGGGGTTGAGGAAGGGCTTTGAGGAGGATGCCAAGGTCACTAAGGGTAATGTGAGAAGCGGCTGGCTAAGAACCAGTAAAATGATTACTGGGCAACACTGAGGGCACAAGTGAGGTAAGACACCATAAATGGGTCCAATCCCCACAGATGCTGAATTTCTGAAGTAGCATGTGCACAAATGAAGAAGGCATATTATAATCACCAAGGTTTGGTTCCATGTTGGATGCAAGGGGAAGAACAAGAGTGAGTCCAGGATGCTGGTGAGAGAGGGATCAGATGACCTGCCTGAGATTGGGCTAA